CGAAGACCAGGTTGCTGGTCTCAAAGCATGGAGAATCTCAGCGCGGCAGGCAGCGCAAGCGAAGTGGGACCCTTCATCTGGCAATGCTCAACGTGACAGGGGCTCTCCACCTCAGTGGCGGCCCTGACCCTCAGCATTTCTACATACATCCGGCGAATGTTAACTGAACATGGCAAGCAGAGGGCCCTTTTATCCGGCGGCCAGAACATCACACCCCAACGAGTCACGATGGCATGCTACAGCAAGCCAGGTACCTTCTGGACTTCAATATGTAACCACCAGTCTCATCGCCCTCGAGGGCGCAACCAACAGACTTGTTTGTCCAAGAAATGCCCCGCTCACAGCGGTGAATTCAATTGCCTGTGCAGTTTGCCTGTGAACAAGGCACCGACCCAGCAGTGTCGTCTCGCAAATCCTGAGACCGCAGAAAACAGCAAGACTTGCTCCTGAAAAGGCTGGCCACAAATTGCTTTTTGGATATCTACACAAAGTAAACGAGGATTTACACAACCTGTTTTGACCCATGACTTTGTCTACATGATCTATAGCTGAAACCTATCATTCACAGCGCAATGCCCCTGGCGACACGAGGCTGCAATCTTGAACTTTTTTGGCAAAGCTGTTTATCTCTCAAGCCCTCACACTGGCATGCCAAATCTGCGAGTAGAGAGCGGTCAGGCGCAGAGAGGAGCAGAGCGGGGAGGAAGGGGAGGGGAGGGGAGGGGAGGGGAGGGAGGGGAGGGGAGGGAGGGAGGGGAGGGAGGAGGAGGAGGAGGGGAGGGAGGGAGGGAGGGAGGAGGAGGAGGGAGGGAGGGAGGAGGGAGGAGGAGGGAGGAGGGAGGGAGGAGGGGAGGGGAGGGGAGGGGAGGGGAGGGAGGGGAGGGGAGGGGAGGGGAGGGGAGGGGAGGAGGGGAGTAGGAGGGAGGAGGGGAGAGGGGGGGAGAGGGGAGGGGAGACAAAGAGGGAGAGAGATAGGGGGGTCCCACCCAGCTTCACACATCCCGGACATCACTTTACTCATGTTCAAACCTCAGCCTCTGACTCATCTGACATCAGCTCGCCCCGGCATGCTGTCGGTGTTAGTCTCGGGCACAGCCTCACGTCTCAGTTCGGCTTCACTCAAAACTTGCGCCCAAGAGTCATCTCGGACCACAACCTTGACAAGACATAGCATGATAAATAAGGTGAAGAAAACACACGCTTTCTCACAAGCTTCAAGCTAGCTTGTCGTGCATCAGAGGTCAAAAGCAAGTTGTTTCCCCAATTGAAGCTTGTCCAGAAGAAATCATGTCTCTGAAGCCTGTTACTTGTGCCTACAGTCTTATCCCAGAAGTAGCTGGACTTGTTGGATCCGACCTTCTTGCCATCCATGGGGCTCTGGGCGCACGGGTTTGGCAGGCATACAGTCACGGATCTTTGAGAATTTCACATGGCGTAGGTGGGGGCCAATGCTTATAGTTGTCAAGTCTCCCTGAAAGAAGAAGACCAGCATTTGTGCCATGGCCCCATGGGCGAGTTCCATGAGGGATGTTCATGACTCTTTTGGAAAGCCTGGAGTGAAGGTCTGAAACACAGTATGTCATGCTTGTTACCAATAGCAATCGTTTGACCCCTCCTCGGTTCATCAAATGTGCACTGTAAAGTCCAACCGGGTGCAGCACCATCAGTCTGAGGTAACTTTCCGGCCAAATACAACAGTCTGTGTGATGCAGGACGATTTCCAATCGGTGAGCGAAATGCTACCTTACGTGCAATTGTACGGAGGGATACCGCATTTGACATCAATCTTAAGAATACCTCGAGTCCACTTGGGCTGCCGGCGGCAAGCAGGGTACAGGAGGGTCTGGAAGGAAACTCGTCGTACTCGACTTCGTCGATGACGTCCTCGACTGCATGGAAAGAGATGACGGCCCGTGCCTGTTTCAATCTCACCAAGGGTACCTAGAAAGGTGGAGAGAGGCAGCCTCCGTCTTTTGGGCAGCTCACCAATCATGAGTTCGGACAAGTAAACACTTGCCAATACTACGGGCATGGACGACCCAACGTCGCAAGCAGCGCAGATTCACTAAGTTGAGGTCGTGGACAGTGTCGTTGTGGTGGTAGCTGTGGAGGTCGTGTTTGTCGAGGTGGTGAACCTCAGCTGTGATGGGCCAAGGCGCTATGACAATGACAGGGGGCTCCAATTTCCAATGAGAAATGCTTGGTTGATGTCATTCTCTTGTGTGCTTGTTCAAACCAGAGGCTACCACTGGACCACATTGCGACAATACACCTCCTGTCCCCTGCTCGCGAAAAAGACTCTGAATTATCGAGGAAAACCATCCTGACCCTTTCTGGCCATCCGCTCGTTTCGTCCGAAAGGCGTCATTGTGGTGACGGAGGAAGAGGTGGAAGAGCTGGTGGTGCTGGTCGTTGCCAGCGTGGTGTTGCTGTAGCTGGTGCTGGAACTGGAGGTGCTGGTGGAGGTCCGCGGCCAAGGCGCGGTGCTGGTGGTGCGAGAGGTACTGGTACCTTACCACATGAGAGCTGAAGAATGGAAATCAACCACACATCCCCCAAAAAAGAACAACTTTGGGGGGGGCATTCCAAAAAAAGCCGTCCGCCAGACTTCTGACTCAGCTACCAGTGGAGCTGGTGCTGCTGGTCTGCGTCACGGAGGTGGAGGTGACCGAGGTGATGGTGGTGGTGGAGAAGTACGACATGTTCCACCACCAAGGCATACTTTGTGTGCCTTGATGCAATTGCGCACGTGCAAAACAATAAAGGTAAACAAAAATCATCAACGAAAGGAATCAAACAAAGAATAAAAGGGAAAAAAGAATGAAAGAAAGAAAGAAAGAAAGAAAGAAAGAAGGAAAGAAAGAAAGAAAATAAATATGTAGAGAAAAGAAAGAAAGGAAAGGAAAAGGAAAGGAAGAAAGGAAGAAAGAGAGAATTAAAGGAAGGAAGGAATGAATGCAAAAACAAAGAACAACATAACAAGCACACGCAGTACGCGAACGAAAGAAAACACACCAAATGAAAAGGACAAGAGCAGTGCAATCAAACAAACGAGCAAACCAGCAAGCAAGAAGATGGCAAATAGAAAAGCAAGCAAATAACAATCATATAATACAAATACACACACGCGCACACAAAGCCAATACACAGCCACACACACACGCAAAACACACACGGAGACACTTACACGCACACGCAAACACACTCATACAAAACAATACCGTATTGGTACTGCATCCCAGATGCTGGTTGAGGTGTACGATGTCGTGCTGATCGTTGTTGCCTCAGCTTTCGTTACCCAGTCTCTCTTTCTGGACTGCGGGCAGCTTGCGTTGCAAACTGTCATAAGGCACTTGGGTCACAGCACTGGTAGATGAGGTTGTGGTGCTGGAACTTCTGGTTTCTGTAGTTGTCAGCGTGGTTGTTTCCCACACCTCCAAAGCGGCTAGTGCAGCTCTCACGCTGCGCAATAACACAAACCCGCTGAAAAAACCTCACGGAATTCGGGGCCCGACATGATGCTCCACAACCTGCTTCAACACCACTGACCAAATGGGGAGTTATCAGGCAAACATCTGGCCCGAAATCACAGGTCAAGCCCTTGCGACAGTCAAGAACCCCGCGTAGTCGTAGGGCGGAGCTGTGGTGTACTTGGGAATCGCTGTGCTGACCGGCGGCAAGGTGGTGCAGCATGTGGCCTCGAGGCGCGGACGTGTTTTCGGCTTTGATTTGAGACGCAAAGCCCGCGGCCGGAATTTCCTGCTGGAAGCCAGGAATCGTGGTGAGAACGGTTCTGGTCCTTAGCCGTTCCCTGGTCCATGCCGCCAAAGGGCGCTTCAAGCAACATCATCGAATCAAACTGGCTTGCTAGACCTCATCCCAAGTAATTCATCGCTTAGCAACATGTAGGTGTTCAACATATCGTAGATGGGGGGTTGGACGCCTCCAAGATCAACTTCCCTTGTTGGCATGAGCCGCACATAATACATCCTGCTCCCCCTCACCGGGAAAAAAAACATGGAGCAAGCTAGGAGTTTCACTTCCTCTGACATACCAATAGTAGCCATGAATGCAGCCATGCTGGGGAGCCAGCGTCGTCGACGTCACAGGAGGGGGCGTCGGCCCTGCAGTGGCCCCAGTCAATCAGCCACAGCCAGCTTGAAGCCAGTTGGCAACCCCCTGTGAAAAAGGATGAAAACCGTCCAATCGTCTGATTTTGGGAGCAAATCAACAAACACGAGTTCACCTTGTCTTAGGCGACCCAGGACCAGGTAGACTGCGTGCAACAGCACCCCAGGTCGAAATCCATCTTGACACTCTGTCCAATCGGTGTTGCTGCTCCACCGTGACCGTCATGGCACAAACACTTCTCCAATCCGTCTGCTACAAAAAAGGCATGCTCTTGAAGGGCCACAATACTTCCCTCATCGGGGTGATACTCAAACTGCCACATACACCACCTGAGAGCCCGCTGACGACTCCCGGACAATCAGACCTCTGACAATAGGGCTGTCCTTTTCAAGAGTGTCCATGGCCGTTGCCGCCCCTCCCGCCCGCTGGGAGCGGAGCTAGCCGGCAGCTCCGGCCCATCTATGGTGCCTCAGGGTGGAAGTTGACAGCGAAACTTGGAGGGCTACCCTTGCTCGTTTGACATGCCCCTGTCCACATTCAGAAGTCTTGGAAGCACGGCAACCGCGAAGCGGCGTGCCAATTGCTATTGCAGCTGCTTAAGTAGCGGCATGCAACTTCAACGTGTGGTTAAACATAGCATAATATTCTAATGACATGCAAAGCTCACAAAGAAGCCTCCCGTAGCACCTGACAGCATGTGTAGATGGAGGCGGCGTATTTCCAGGACAAAGGTCATAAGTCCAACACGACTAACCCTTTTAACGTATGAACGTAAGACAACCAACAGCACATGGCGGGCGTCTGCATGCATCTGAAAACCTCACGTACTACCACCCCCCGCAATTGCCCGTGGTGTGGATGTTTGCTCTCAGGTTGCGAGGAGGTGCCTTCATCTTGGTGGCAAATCTGACAGTATCATTCTGCTCACTCATCGGGGTCGAATCATGCTGCATGCTGACAGCCTGATGAAGGGAGAATGGTCGGAAGCTGTGTATTCGAGCAAGGAGTTTCAAAACTGGGTCCACACCTGAAACAATCGAGCCTACTGCACTTGGAACAAGCAAGTAGCGTCTCTCCAGTCTTGGCGCCCGCATGGATTTGGGCTTTGGCTATGTAGAAACCTGTGGACGGGGTCATTGCCTAATTCTTGTTCCAGGGATGTTAAAAGGAGTCAATTACCTCTTAAAAGGTACTAAAAGGATCCTCAGACTTGCAATCATTTTCTAGTCCGGCCCGATCCACCTCTCTCCCCCGCCTTTGCCGCATCTTGCCACTCCAGCTGCATAAGGTACCCTGAAGTACCAAAGCCTCAGCAAGCTGGGCCAGCCTCCGTGAAACTCTGTCATAAAACCTGAAGCACCCCGGATGGAGGGGTGCGATGCATGGCCGGAAGGCAAAAGAGGCCGCTCTTGAGCCATCCAAACAGTCGCGCTCTTTGTTCTGCCTTGCATAGGCCTCAAATATTGCGAGTGAAGCCATCACAGGCTTTGACAACCCGAACATCTAAACTCTGCACATACTGACAATGCAATGTGCCAACAGCAAACCCCAATGATGCTAAGCTGGTTGACGAATTACTCATGGCAAATGCAAAAAGAATTCACACCGGTTACTCCCTCCGGACGTGTGCACAGCTCCCGGGTTTCAGAGCTGGCGAAGAAACTGGGGCTGCCCGGCTGCAAGGCGTTTGGGCAGAAGGGGCCTGACGACTTCGCGCGAATTTCAGGCTGCCTCCGACTGGTAAGGGAGCCATGAGGATCCAAGTGCTGTCTGAGGGTTTGAGGGTCACTTAATTTAGAGGGCAAAGCACCTAAATAGCAGCTATACAGCTCCTCTGGAGGGTCAACCGAAAGTTGTTTCAGGCCTCCGACCGACCTGTAGAGTGGCAAGCACGTATACATAGTCCGCTTTGTGCAAAAAATGCAAACGGCACCCTCTCCCGCATCGACTCAATCACTCGACCCTTTGGATCTGCTCACTGCTGATTGAGCCAGCTGCCAGCCAATTAAAAAATCCTTCTCACACATTTTTCTTCCTGCCATGTTTGGGCTCATGGGACAAGCTTGCCATTCGCCAAAGATATTTTTATCTTTTGAATCTGTCAAGCCAAGCCGGTCAAGCCAACACGCAAGACTCTAGGCTCCCTTTTTGTGACAACCCGGCATGACTCCCTGGCTGTGCCTGTGGTTCTCAAATAGTCGTACCTGAGCACCAATCTCACAAGCAACGTAGACCTCCTATTGAATTTATGGACAACACAACACTGCGATAGGGACTCTTTGACCATGGCACAAGTTTACGAGCCACACACTGTGACTGCTGGGAATGAAGTCATTTTTTGCATATTGAGTTGCAGCCACGGTGCTCAGCGAAGTTGCCGGCAGCGCCCACAATGAGCAAAACCCAAATGCACTCCCTCAAGCCAGGCTGATCGTTCACCTGCACACACAAACCATGCAGAGTGGACTCCAAAGGGAATAAGGCAAAATGAGGCACTGGCCTTGACAAAGGGCATCGCCCTCACATTCCCAGCTCATGACCAACACCCATGAATGTTCCGGAATATGAAATATACCGTGAATCATGAATATTTGTCTGTGGTTGCTGTAACTCATCACTGCCGTCAGCACATGCTGGCCGCATGTTTGGGAAACTGCTTCACTTACTTGACAAGCTGGGGAGATTTGGGGTGGGCTGAGGTTAGGTTTGCAACCGAACATAGCTTGGCCTGGCATCATAATGCCACCTGTTTGCTTGGGCCGAAAGTCCAAATATAGAGATCCATCCACCCGTTTTGTCCAACAAGCGCAAATGTTGCAAACTTACACAACAAGTTCAGTCTATTTGAAGCAAGCAATGTTCCGTTTTCTTCTCGCATTGCGAGAGAGGCGCAATACAGCATGGATTGTGCGACTCATCGACATACAGGACCAAGCGATTGCTAGCACTTGCATTTGAAGGTCTGCAGTTGCTGACAAAGCCCGGCAGATCCGGCCCGATTGGCTCCGGCGGCGGGCGGCGCAAGTCTAAACATCATCTGACTGGCTTTGCGGCTGCGGGGCAAACGCTGTGGGGGGCCCGGCTGCAGCTTTTCGGGGTGGTAGCCGCCAAGCGCAGAACTTGGCGTTTGGGGTAGAGCAAGCTGCCATCTACACCAGGGATGATGCTGATGAGCGGCATGTGAACCCCTAAGTGGCCAAATTGTTGGCAGCCCAACGTCGAGGTGTCAGTAGCGCTGCTCTTGTGGCATTTAGCGCCTTATTGCAATCGCATGTCATCATGTTCAAATCGTGCAACGCAAGCGGATGTGACTGAACTCAAATGAAATCTCCACATGCTGCCTTCAAATTTGCTGTGTTTGATGCATCTACTCAGGACCTTCGCACTCTTATAGTTTGGGTTTTCACGCGTGTGAAGGCATGACCCACTGGGAATGACCCACACGCTATTCGTCTTTTCCCTTTTCCTCAGCTTCTCAGGCCTCAGCTTAGGCCTCGCCAAAAGCTCAACTTCGTCTCACTATTTTCGTCCTCCTAGGTCGTTGCCTTCACGACTTTCCTGTTGATCTCGCTCTTTAGCTTCATCACGATGAAGTCCCATAGCCACATGACTAGGTTCAAGGCTCCAACGCTGGCCAAAATGGCCAACGCCACAACCACCACTGGTCTCCATCGTCCTTGCCCTTGGCTCGTCCTCTTCAAAATGTTGGCGAATGTACAATAAACCGGGGATTTCTGGCCCGCCATATGTCTGCTGACGCTCGTGGGAATGGCGGTACCTGGACCACCTTCTCATGGCATTTCTGCTGCAACCGTGTGTGTGTGTCCTCTGATGAAGAAGGACCAGACGTGCCGAAGGAACAGGCCCTCGATGCACCTGGAGACCATGGCCACGCACTCGCCCTCACCACTAGAGAGCGATATGCTCCTCTCTCTTCTGCGGGAAAGCCCGCGACGCTCTTGCCTTTGCCTCGACGCCGTGCATGTCCCTCGTGTCCAGCATGGATTTTCCGCACTTGCTGCCCTGAATGAGCAACCTGGAGTACACGCCGTTTTTGTCGGTTTTGACATCCATGCTGCCAGGGCATTGATTACACGCCGGCCGAACTGGGAAACGCACAACACCTTACCCACGATTGATCTGAACTGTGAGCATGTCCTCTTGCACGCGCCCCGACGCCCAGTTGATAGCGGTCGAAGCACCGGCGCAAGCGCGTAAGAGCCTGAGTGCCAGGAGCCAAAGGCAGTTGGGGTTCGAATCCCGTGGGGTGACCAATACCCTCGACAATGGAGTCGTATAGTAGTGGTCGTTGTGCAAGGGGGTTGTAAGGTAAATGCTCTGCGCTGTCTCCCGACTCGATGCGACGGCGGAATACGGACCTTTTGCTTTGCTTCACAGCTGTATATTGGGGAGCCAAATGCAGTCGCATGTACATGTCGGCTGCACACAAAACAACGTTTCACCAAAGGTTTGAGGGACCTTAAAAGAGGGGAAAGAACAGGGTGACCCTCGAACCTGCCCTTAGGATGTTTCAGCCTGCGGCTCGGAGATTCTTAGCGTCCCCCATCCCGGGCTTGGGTTCATCCCTGGGTCGGGAACTAATCACAAACGCATGCCGACACGCATGAACACACGGCTTCTCTTTTCTTCAATTCAGTGAAACGTCTTTGCGCGCTACAGGTCACGTACCGGACCTGATTGCGCAACGGTGCACATGCAGCAAGGCAATTGTACAGATGCAGAGCAGTCTGCTATCCATGACTAGCATAGTCCATCACCAATCTGTAACCAGTAATAATTGTAGCATCAAATAATCATTGACCACCCGATGACGACACTGTACGGAAACAAGAAAACATTCTGCGCAAATGCAAGTCTCATGCAAATACTCTTGGGTTGCCCATGGTACCGCGCACGACGAGTACCGCAAGGGCTGACCATGATACCACGCACGATGAGTATCACGATCCCATTGTGTAAAAGTGCAAATCCCAGTTGATCCCCCACATAGAAGAAATCGTAATGGAAATGCTTGATCACCAGTGTGATGATTCAGCAACGGCCTTTCTACTCGCCCTCCACCGGAACCTTTCTAGCAGAGAATGTGGTGTCTCCTTGGTCCGATTGATCTCCTCGATGTAGCGCGAGGGCAGATGTATATTGCGAGTTTAGCACCATTGGATAAGAGGAGCGTCAACCTCTCTAACGCTTTGAACGCAAATGAT